CCGGGGGGGGGGGGGGGGGGTAGGATGGTGGTGTCATAGGACCTTGCAACTGGAACCCAGAGCCAGAGCCTCAGTGACCATCTGCTACTAAACTGAAATCCTGAGGCTTAGTACCCCGACCGTGGGGGCTGAAGCCCTGATGCCCACTGCTCCAGTGCTGAAGCTGGGAGCTGAAGCCAGGAATCCCAGCGCCCCTGCCTGGACTGGAGCTCAAACTTCCAAAGCACTGGTTGCCCCTCTCCCTGCAGTGCTAGAGCAGTGCAGACCCTAAGGCAGCTTTACACCACACCACTTCCTCCTCTCCCTGCCTTCAAGGCCCTGCCTCCTGGCCAGGGCAGAAGCAGGAAGCTGAAGTCAAGCAGTGCAGGTCGCTGCTGCTCTGGCTGGTGCAGTGCAACAGGCAGACACATCTCCTGCTGCTAGTGCCCAGGATCAGGGCTGCTCCTTAGCTCACACAGTCAGCAAGTGGCCAGCTGAGACCACACAGGGAGCCCTTCTGGCTTACAGCCTCTAGCTACTCCCTCCCTACACCCTGAGCTACCCCCTGCCTGCACACAGCCCCCGATTTACCCTCCTCCTACACCCTGAGGCATGAGAACTGACTCTGTGGGTGCTCCATGGAGTCCAACTCCCTCCCACCAACTAGTGACCCTATTGTTCAACTCCTCCCTCTCCCTCCCAGCACCTCCTGCCCACCACAATCAGCTGTTTTGTGACCTCCACAAGGCTCTAGGAAGAAGAGGGGAATGCAGGGATGGCTCACATTCAAGGGAGGAAAAGCAGGAAGAGTAGGCTGGCAGGGTTTCTGCTAAGCTGTGCAGGAGCACAGCTGCTTAATGAACCCTTTCAGGGCTGCTGCACTTATTTGAAAACCTGGGCAGAGCTCATTAAACAGCTTCAGGGCTGTGTTGCCATGCAGAGTAAAGGGAACCTTGCAAGATAAGGGAGGGAGGCTTGAGAGAAGAGGTTGGGGGGCCTGGAAGAGAGCTGGGGTTTGAGCAGCCCCCAGACCTGGAGAAGCCAGTACCTATGTCCTGAATTACTCACCCATTCTCCCCTCCCCCGCCACAGCCCTAGATACCTCCTCTCTGTATCCTGAGTGGTTTTCAATTTTTTGAGCTGAATTCCCACCACACAGAACCTAGACAGGTTGGGTGACCAGCTGAGGTGAGTCAGGAGGTGTCTCTCTTGACCCTGCTATGTGGAGCTGAACCAAACCCTGCTGCCCTCCCCCACTCCCAAATAGAAGTCAATATATGCCTATGCCTGAGGGCCCACCCTGGCCGGGCCCCCAGTCTCCTGCCTCCCCCACAGGACCCTGGAGTTTTTATAGCATGGTGAGGGGGGCCTCAAAAAGAAAAGGACTGAGAACCCTTGGACTACATTATTTTAGAGTGAGACCAGTGTTTCATGGGGAACACATTGAGGTTACTCAGGACAAATTGCAAAGAATGGGACAGACAACCCCCAAAGCTGGGGGATATTCCAATGTTTAGATTTACCAAGCCAATATGAAATAGTATCTATAATAACTTATTGGTTGAACAGAAGCCAAAACACAGTTCCCTTATGGCAACCCAGCATTGGGCTTCCATCCAGACAACCAAGTCAAATAGGATGAAGCTCAGTGAAAATGTTATTTAAGGTGTAAGAAAGTTCTACAAATCCCAAAAGATTGGACACATTACCTCCAAAGTTAATGAATATTGGATCTTACCCAAATATATGCTTGCAGCCAATTCTTAATAACTAAAATTTATTTCAAAAGAGTGAATTTTGATTAAAACATCAGTATACATATAGACATGAATACAGTTCTGAGATTAGTTTAGTTTCATAGTAGAAATGAATGCTTTGTAGTTGTATTTTTTTCCCCCAGAATTAGTCCACCCCTGAATGTTCATATTCAGGGTGATCCAGATGAGACCTTCAGTCTTTCAATTCAAGCATTCCCTGCCTAAAGTATCAAGCAGATGTGAGATGAAAGAATCAGGTCCCAAGAGTCTTTTATACAATGTTCCAGCAGCCTCTTGGGCAGAGAGTCTTGTAGAATTGTGGACATCTGGTTTTTGACTGGAACACCTGATCAAAAAGAGCCATTAAAAGTCTGGTCAGGACGGCCTGGGGACAAAGGCAGGCTTCCTACCTACTCTGGTTTCATACTGATCACGGAAGCTGGAGTGGTCAGGAGCTGGGAAGCTCTTTGCACTCCCACGGTCCCAAGTGATGGCTCTGTTCTGTGACCAATAAGAGCTGGAGGGAGAGGTGTGGATGTGCCTGCAAGTGCAGGGTGAGCACCTGTGGGTGTGAGACCAGCGCAGGGGAATATCCCTGGCCACCTATATGCCTTGAGGCTACAGGGACCTGGCAGTCACAGTAAGTGCCACTGGGACCCTGCATCCCAAACCTACCCCAGTTTGGAACCCGCTCCTGCACCCCAAACCTCTCATCCATCATGCCATCCCAGAGTCCGCAACTTCAGCTGGAACCAGAGTGCTCACCTCTTCCCCACACCCCAACTCTCTGCCCAGCCTTGAGCTCTCTCCTGCTCTCTGAACCCCTCATTTCTGGGCCCACCTGGAGCCCGCATTCACAACCCAGAGCCTATTGCCCCTTCCACACCCCAACCCCGTGCCCCAGCTCATTGAAAGTGAGCGAGAATGGGGAAGAGCAAACGATGGAAAGAGGAGGGGATGATGTAAGCAGTGGCATAGCCTTTGAAAAGGAATGGGGCACGTGTAGTGCCTAGGAGAAGAGATGGTGCATCTTTTGAGTGTACCCGTTATTTTGAAATATAACTCACTCGCTATTCTGACGTTCCTGTACAGGACATTTTGGAATAGTGATTTATTTTGAAATAAATGCTGTGTAAACAGCGCCAAATTATGAAATAAGCTATTTCGAAATAAGATCAAAATAAGATACGCATAGCTCAAATTGCATATCTGATTTTGATCTACAGTGCAGATGCACAACAGTACTACTAATAGTTTTTAAAGTTACAGACTAACACGGCTACCCCTCTGAGACTTTGTAACAACAGGAGTGAAGGAGAACTGCTGGAGCCAGGTCAGAAAGGACATCTTTGGCCAGAGAAGGACTTCATCTGAAATAACAACTAGTCTGTAAGTACCTACATAGGAAACAAACATTTGCTATTAAGCTCTTCAATCTAACAGAAAAAGGTTTAACACAATCCAATGGCTAGAAATTGAAACTAGAAAAATTCAGACTGGAAACGAGGCATAATTCTTTAATAGTGAGAGTTATTAATCATTGGAATAATTTACTAGTAGTCATGGTGGTTTTTATAAAACATATGCTTTACGAATTATTACGTTATAGTTCTATGGCTTGTGTTGAGCAGGAGGTCCGACTAGAGCAGGGCTACTCAACTTTGGAAGCCCCAGGAGCCACAATGATACTCGCAGCACATGCCGAAGGCCGCAACTTAAGTGTGGTTGCATATACATGCAAATATATATGCAAATATATGTAAATAGGTTATTTCACACTGATGGACATAAATAAAAAAATTAAGGCAAGACTACACAACACGCAGGCATCATTTAAGTCAGTTCTGCTGCTATTAATAAAATGCAATATTTACCTAATTTCCACCCATACGACAGCACTTTTAATGAGCAATGACAGTTCAGGAATGTAACCATTAAAACTCATATCAACAGAAGACCATTATATTGACTACTTTTTTGTTTTGGGTCCCACCCGCAGGCCGCGTGTTGCACCCCATGTAAACCCAAACCACACTGTGGGCCGCAAACAGGCTGCAGGCCGCATTTGGCCTGCAGGCCGCGTGTTAAGTAGCCCTGAACTAGATTATCACAATATCCAGAGTGGGGAATAGCCTTGACATCTTGCTTGTCCTGTTTTAAAAAACAGGTTCAGCCTAGGATTCATTTAATGTTTGTTTGTTTGTTTTTTTGCTTTGTCACTATGGGCCTCACAAATGTCTAAACTAGCTTTTTCCCCCTGAAAATCTTCTAGTAATTGTTAACACCAAAGAAGTTTTATAGGTTATAACAATGCTGATATAGACAAGGCACCAGCAGTTGGTGGTGTTTTAATTAGGGCTGTCAAGTGATTAAAAAATGTAATCACTATTAATCACGTGATTAAAAAATTTAATCGTGATTAATCATGTGCGCCTCCCCTTTGAAACTCCACGGTGGCATTTCAATAGGGCAGCGCTGCATGGAGCCTGGGATATTCCGGGGAAATGCTGCGGGGAGCCCAGGATCAGCTGGGGAGTCCCCCTCCCCAGCTGACCCCACACACCATGGCTGTCCCTCTGAAAGGTGCACAGGCAGCAGCTGCCCCTTTAAAAAGCCACCTGGGGGTTTTTAAAGTGGCAGCGCCACTGTGCAGTGTTGTCACTATATTATAGAGGCAGCTGGGGGGGGAGGGGGATATCGACTAGTTTTTTGCATCCTTAGTGCATACTAATGATTCTTATCAGCCTCTTTTAACTATTTAGTCTTTAAGGTGCTAATAGACTATTGGTTGTTTTTTAAGTTTTTCCTGTTAGACTGGCTTGGCTATTCCTTTGAAACTTATCTACCCACTGTCTTCCCTCCCCCCCAAATATTTTTCCTTCTCTCTTCCCCCCTTCGTTTATTCTTGGTTCTAGACTTCCAACACCCCGGTCATCTGAAGAAGTGGGCTGTGCCCACAAACGCTCATGATACCATCTACATGTTCGGTTAGTCTTTAAAGTGCTACTAAACTATTTGTTGTTTTTTAAGTATAACGTAGAAACATCGGACTGGAAGGGACATTGGAGAGTACCCTGCACCCATGGCAGGACTAAGTATTATTTAGACCAGTGGTCCCCAACCTTTTGAGGTTGTCGGGCGCCAGGGGGCGTGGCCGTTCGCCCGCCGGGCGCCAAGGGGCTACGTGCTTTTCAAGTTCTGACCAATGTGGGGTGCCTCTTCTTAATGCACACTTACTACTTGGCATACTCTTTAATGCATCTTCATTTGCTTTCCAGTCTCGGACCATCTTTTCTGTTACTCCATATTGACTTGCAGCAGCACAGTTGTTATGTTCCTTGGCAAAGTTTACAACTTTCAGCTTGAAACTGGCTTCAAATTTCCTTCTTCTTGTTGTAGCCATGATGGGGTCTTTTCTACCACCTACTTGGGGGGGGGGGCCGTCCCCCCGCCGGGCGCCAGGGGGCGGGGACACTTGCGCCCCAGGGGCGCCCCCCCCATAGCCGCATGCCCGGGGCCAGGGCCCCCCCATAGCCACGCGCCCGGGGCCAACGCTCCCCGCAAGCGCCGCGCCATGTGCCTGGGGCCAGGCCAGCCCCGAGCACCTGGTGGGCACATGCAAATGCCCCCGCGGGCGCCATGGCGCCCGCGGGCACCGTGTTGGGGACCACGGATTTAGACCATTTGAAACTTGTCTGTTTAACCTGCTCTTAAAAATCTCTAATGATGGAGAATTCAAAACTAGGCAATGTATTCCAGTGAGCATATTTAATTCTGGGTCATATTAATAGGAGTGTTGCATGTAAAATATAGGCAGTAACTGTTCTGTTCTACTCAATGGTTAGGTCTCAGCTGTAGCTCTGTTGAATTCCAGGTATTACACTTTAGGGAAAAAATGGATAAATTGGAGGGAGTCCAGAGGACATCACCAAAATTATAAAGCATTTAGAAAACCTGCCCTATAAGAAAAGATGGAGGAGGACCTGACACTCATTAAACTCATTTAAGGGATGCTATAAGGAAACGCATATTCAATTGGTCTCCATGTCCACTTAAGGTAAGGCGAGAAATAATAGACATAGTGTACAGCAAGGGTGATGTACATTAGCCATTAGGAAAATCTTGCTAAATGTAAAGGTAGTTAAGCTCTAAAATAACCTTGCAAGGGAAGTTGTGCATTTCTGTCATTGATGTTTTTAAAGTTAAAGTTAGACAAAGCCATCAGTTGAAGTTTAACAAAGTGGTGCTTAACCAGGGATACCCATATCTTTGGGGATATGCAATCTTTTGGAGTTTCATCAACTCAGCAAGATATTTGCCTAGTTTTACAAGCTACATAAAAAACACTACCAAAGTCAGTTCAAATTAACATACAACTTGTTTATATTGCTCTATAAACTGGAATGTAAGTACAGGTTGGACGTCCCTTGCCTGGCACCGATAGGATCTGACTAGTCCCGAACAAGATAATTTGCTGGACATGAGCAGGTCTCCTGTCACCAGCCCCCAACAGGCAGGGGCTGCCCCCCAACTTGGCTGGGCTGCTTGACAGTGTTCCCTCTGTTTGTTTCCATCCATGTGTGGAATACATTTTGTTCTTTACACAGAACCATGTGTGGATGTGCACCTACAGAAGAAAAAAGCTGCCAGCTGCGGGTGCTCTGCTGATTGGCTGTGCAGCACCTGAATCTTTCCTGGGCAGCTGCATGAGTGCTCAGCTTACATGGACTATTGCTGCCGAGCTTCTGCCTGCTCCTTTGGCAGCACAGGCTCTGTCTCCTGCTGTGGGAATTCAGCCCAGCACTTCCAGGGGCTGCCGCAGGGCTGGAGCCCTGCCATGCTGCCTTCAGCCAGGCTGCCAACTCTATTGCACTGCCCTGCTGGCCCTCCTGCCCTTAGGCTCCCAGGCTCTCTGCTCCAGGAGCATCCATAGTCCAGCAAGAACAGGGCTGTTGCTGGACCAGAGAGTGCCGGTTTTTGGAGGTACACCTTGTACAATATTTGTATTTTAATATATGATGTAATGTAATGAAAACGGTATTTTTTCAGTAATAATATGCGGTGGCATTTTTGTATATTTATGTCTGATTTTGTACGCAAGTCATTTCTAAGGGAAGTGAAACTTGGGTTTTATACAAGACCAAACACACGCCTGAAAGACACTGGTCTGGCAGGTTTGCTTTGGTTGCCCCACTGTACGGGTGGCTGAATGTCCATGACTCCATGCAGTCCCCTTGTCCCATCCAGTCCCACATTTCGTGCAGCCTGTGCTGTGCCACCATAAACGGGGATTCGCAGCGGTGCAACTTCCCCCGCTGGAACAAGGGCAGCTTGCGCCCGACCAGGCAACATGTTACCCCTGGCGCTGCGCGGAGGGGGCTGGCACACGCGTAGCCACAGCGCTCGCAGCAGCCCCTGCGCCGTCT